GAAGACTGTGCTGCACTTCAGAGGGACCTGGACAGGCTGGAGAGCTGGGCGGAGAGGAACCTCATGAAGTTCAACGAAGGCAAGTGCAAGGTCCTGCACCTAGGCAGGAATAATCCCATGCACCAGGACAGGCTGGGGGTTGACCTGCTGCAAAGTGGCTCTGCCGAGAAGGACCTGGGAGTGCTGGTGGACAACAAGTTAAACATGAGCCAGCAGTGTGCCCTTGTGGCCAAGAAGGCCCATGGTATGCTGGGGTGCATTAGGCAGAGTGTTGCCAGCAGGTCGAGGGAGGTGATCCTGCCCCTCTATTCAGCCCTGGTGAGGCCTCACCTGGAGTGCTGTGTCCAGTTCTGGGCTCCCCAGTACAAGAGAGACATGGCACTCCTGGAGGGAGTCCAGCGGAGGGCTACCAAGATGATTAGAGGGCTGGAGCACCTCTCCTCTGAAGAAAGACTGCAAGAGCTGGGCCTGTTCAGCCTGGAGAAGAGAAGATTGAGAGGCGATCTCATCAACGTGTACAAGTATCTGAAGGGGGAGTGTCAAGAGGATGAGGCCAGCCTCTTCTCCGTGGTGCCCAGCAACGGGACAAGAGGCAATGGGCAGAAACTGAACCACAGGAAGTTCCATCTGAACCTGAGAAAAAACTTCTTCACTGTGAGGGTGACAGAGCATTGGAACAGGTTGCCCAGAGAGGTGGTGGAGTCTCCTTCCCTGGAGATATTCAAAAGCCGTCTGGATGTGATCCTGGGCAATATGCTCTAGGTGACCCTGCTTGAGCAGGGAGGTTGGACTAGATGATCTCCAGAGGTCCCTTCCAACCTAAACGATTCTGTGATTCTGTGTCCTTATTCCCCATGGGACTGGAAGATCCTCTACAAGTATTCAATGCCCAGTGCTACAGAGACAGATGCCAGGGAGAACATCAGGTTTCTGACATGGGTGACAAAGCTGTCCCATCACTCTCAAGCAGACCAGAGATCATATCCTACCGGCTGGTGCTGAGCCTGGACACCCACGTACGAAGTACAGGCAGTGTCTTGTGCAACACACTGGAGCGCATGCCAAGAAGGTATACACTCTTCTATGGCAGCCTTGCCAACAACAGACAGGACTGAGTTACAGGGCAAGCTAAAGCCTTTGCATGCTGCACAGTGCTGCTCAGTTTGTGTGTATATTGTGCAAGAAAGAGGATTCCTCCCTCAAAGAGACCTAAACACAGTGCTAGTCAGCCTCTTATACAGAGAACTGCCACAATAAAGAACCCTGCTCTCACCCACCAAAGTAAGATGACAAAACACAGACAGCTGCTACACTGGAAATCACTAAACAAGCAACTAGTGTGACCCAAACTGAGACTGTAACTAGGGCATGAGCTACACCGGGTACATACACTGCTAGTGCCACTGTCCAAGGGAAATGCACCAGGAGATGCAGTCTGTGCACCACAGCTTTGGTTTGCAGTCTCTCACAACCAATCAGACGCAACAGTTCCAAAATCAAGGTCACAGAAGTTATGAGTGGAATCGCAGTCCCAAAGACATTCAGTTGCTTATGTTAGCACTGTGGGTTGTGAGCCTGACAGAGGTGGGGCTTGTAACTGAAAAGCTTTGGGATTACTCCCTCTCTTCCTCCAGAGATTTACTTCCGGCTTCGTTTGCGGCAGGTTTTTGGAAATTCTGCTCTTTGCGCAACTTGAGGCTCTCCCTCTTCGCTACTCTCACTCTCGTTGTCCACCCGCTGTGGGCGACTCCTCTTACTCCTCCTCGTTCTTTCAACTCCAACACTGGGGAGTTTCTTGGCAGACAGGGACCCAGGTCTCTTCTTTCTACCCCGAGCCAAAGGACGCTTCTTCCGCTGCTTCCTCTGCTCTTCTTCTCTTTGGCGGATTTTCATTAGCTTCTCAAAGCTTTTGGTGGTAGTTGTGTTCACATCAAACCAGTCCTGAAGGGTTTAGAAGGCAACAGGTTGGTATTGACAGTGGAAATACCATACAAAGTCTATCAGGGCTCATATCAGAGCTGCCTGCGGGACAAGAGTTTATTGAAACATTAGATCTGGAAAAGCAGCTGACTAACAAAGCTCTGTTCTTAAAAGTTACATATCAGGTGTCACTCTGCACCAGAGGAGTTCGATTTAATTTAGCAATGGGCTGGCTAATGGCATAGGAAATGCTGAAGAGCTGAACTGGACAGCAGTAGGTTGGGACAAGACATGTGACATGATACAGCACTTGCTCCCCAAACAAATGCGTAAGAACAGCTGTATTTAAGCAGATCAAAGGCCCGTTTAGTCCAGGACCCTCTTTTCAACAGTGAGCAAGGAAAGATTACAAGGCAAGCATCCAGCATTTTCTTCCCAAAACACCCTCCCCATCTCCAACAGTCTGGGGTTTGGGGACTTCCATTCTGCCTGCCTTACCTCAGCATGCACGGAGTTGATGTGATACTTGACCCCGCTCTCTGAAACAAATTCCTTTTCACACAGGAGACACTTGTATTTACCAGCCACAAAGTCTCCCTGGCATGAAAACAAAACAAAACAACAACAAAAAATCACCTATTATGGCCTAGAAGGCTGATGCACCTATATATTATACTTGACTCTTGGACAGACATAACCCATCTCATTGAGAAGTCGAATGTCTTATTCATTCCAGACCGAATGCTGCAGCAACAGAAGCACTGACATTATTGGCAAATCATACCCACAAAGGAAAGGATTACTCTGCAGGATGTTGCGAGGTCTCTAGGATTGTACCTGGAAAAAGTGCTCTTGTAGCTGTGAATCTACAGGTAGGACTGCAACGTCAATAAAATGTATGACATGAAGATGTTCCCTCCTTGCCTCAAACCGTGCTGCTTGCAATAGCAGCCCTATTAGCACGTTGGGAAGCATGCATATTGTGAAAAACTAGGACTAAGAGACAGCAGGACAACAGCTTAAAAAGGAATTATCTGAGGAACAGGGCAGTCAGGCTATAGGTATAAAAGAGAGCAAATACAAAAATGCTACCAACCAAGGTGCACGTGCCGAGGTGAGATTTGAGTCCTGAGACACTGCCATATACAGATTCACAACCCTGAAACAGGAGAAAAATGTGTGTGTCAGCAAAACTCTGGTAAGGAAACACTTCTTCCTGCAAAAGAAAGTCTTGATCTCTGGGACGTTCTTCCCAAAGGCGTAAGAGAGGTAGAGGAAGTGAGATACCAAGTCCTACAAAGCCAAAAGGCCTGTAGTAAAAAGACCTTTACAAGGGAGTTAACATTTCAGTAAATTAAACATTTGCAGTTTCTGAGCACCCCTGTCACACAGATATGTTCACTCTCTACTAAAAGCCTGAGTAATATGATAGAGTTTGCATTTTGCCTAAAGGGCAGCAGACATTAATTCAGAACAAAGCACAGTTGCAAGTACAAGACACTACAACCTCTCCTGCTCTGCTCTTGCATCTAGCGGCACAGAGTGAAGTACTGCATCTGGCATCAATGGTCCCTGTTAAATTGTGCAAAAAGGGCAGCTTTAAGGGCCTACCCCATGCAGAGCTTTAGGCATCAGTCTCGGGATATTAGATCACACTCAGACAACAGACCAGAACCTGCAGCAGGAGGTAGGGGCAGGACATGCTTCTGGGTTAGTGGTCGGTGGACTAGGACAGCTGCTTTCTGGGGGCAGCTCCGTATACAACATCATGTTGCAATTCTTATGCCTGGAAATAATACAATCCTGAAAACTGGTGACAGAGTGCCAGAGGAGAAAAAAAAAAAGTCTTACCTCTGCACCAAGCCCAGACAAAAGCCACTACTGACCCTCAGGCCTCCAGCAGTGTAAGTCAGTCTAATGGACAAAGAGTGAAGGAAGCGGGTGCTTGCACTCCAGCAAGGAGGTACCAATAGTTTCCACCAAAGGGGCCCGTTCTTCTCAGCGGATCTGACTTGTTACAGCAGTGTGGGATTGTGAGAAACTATGTACACACGCATAAGCATCCCTAGATCAACACAGTGCCATGCACGAATCTGTTTCGGGGCCCATTTTCAGCCTTCAAAATAAGACTTAAGTGCTGTGCCAGACAAAACAGTCTCTCAGCCCTCAGATTCACCTCTCTTCCTCCCTTCCTCTATAATTAGATTTAGTGCACCTGCTAGATTCTACTGCATGGGCCTGCCGTTTTTTCACTGCTAAGTCAAACCTTCATTTGCACCAGCTCCTAGCTGGATGTGAAGCTGTATCAATCCAACACCAAGTTGCTAGCTCTGAAGTGGGCAGACACCTCCCCAGAGGGATCATCCCTAGGGCAGCAGTCCACACGGAGTCTTGGTTATATTAACTGACTATACTGAGATGGAGCAGAATTTCTCTCTTGCAGACAGAGAGACAAACTGCAGTTTCAAAGTTGTGGAAAGTTGTTGGCTCATACAGACCTGAAATCTGTCCCCTTTGAGACTTCAGAAAGACTTAAGGGTTACCTGGTTTGGGCAGTGGACTCTTCGGTACATCTTTATCTCTGTTTTCCATTTGCACAGCACGTCTTGACTAAATGTAGGCAGTCCAGGACGAGTATATTTCAGCTGGGACAAAGAGATGGAATCAAAAGGTAGAAGAAATGCTAGCTACTCATAGTGTCAAGTACGTCTCTCTCTCTCTCTCTCTCTCTCTCTCAGGCTGTGAGACAGAAGTGCTATTTCACCTCCTACCCTAACAGCCAAACTCTCAATAAATAACCTTCTCCTGTCTCACTGACCCTCTACAAACGTGACTGAATCTGGAAATTCCCTACAATCCCAGAATCTAAAACCTCCCACAACTTTGACTATAATTCCTCCAAATGTATTCGTCCCATCAAAGTCCTAAATCCATCCTTTCCCTCTGGGGTTCCTTTACCACCTATTAGATGCTCCTGGACACTGTCCAAAGTTTGAAAAACTAGAAAATACTACTGCTTCGTGGCAGTGAGCCTCAGCCTATGACTTCTGAGCAACATACTGCCTATAACTGCCTTCACTGCTTGTGCCTACTGAAAAATATTGCTACTACAGCAATAGTACTTTAAAGTCTTTCTAGCCTACCTTGCTAAAATACTGATAGCCACGGCAATTGCTACTTTAGCAATACTATCGTCTAAGATGACAGAGAGCGCAAAATCTGATGCCCTTCACAAGACATTACTTCCTCAACATTGCTTTCCACGGGCCATTACACACTGGTAACACTGGGTAGATGTCAGTGCAAGACTCCTGCTGTGCAGAAGACTCAAACTTTACATAATGTTCTGAAGGCCTTGCACCTTTCGATCATCTGGAATCAAGTCCTGCAGCACTTTCCTCTTGGGCCATTCTTTGGCCAGCTCTTCTCCAGCTAACTCATGGAGATAGTAGATTGCCACCTTTGCAGATCTCCTCTGAACTCTGCCTGTGTTATTTGGCTCCCGTTTTATTTCCTTCAAGCTCTCTGTTCTTCTCTCTTCATGGAAGAAAGCAACCTGCAAGGAAAGGCCAAAAAAGGTGAGCCTCCCTCCGTTCCTACTTCAGCTACTCTAAATACTGTGAACACTCATTCAAATGCTTGCCAAAAATACTGCTCCAGCTGTGGTTCACTGTCACAGACATGAGACAGAAGTGTACCCTACCAGCAAGACAGCGCCAAAATCTATTCAGGGACACAACAGTAAGGTTTTAGCAGAGAGCTTCATGCAGCCAGTGGCCTTGAAAGGATACCACATCTGTCTCTGTAAAAATCCTCATGGACAACAAGCACAGTTTTCCCTGTTCTGCTCCAGTGTTGGGTCTTTTAAGAGCAAAGGAAAGTGTAATAGGAAGCTCTCACAGTTAAACATGCTAGCATCATTTTCCCACAGAGCAGAAGTCAGACTGGGCAAAGGTTTACTGCTACCACAGTGATTTACCATTAAAAACGTCATCCTAATCACAGGACAGGAACAGCTGCTATCAGAAGGAAAAGGGGACAAGGACAGAGTACTCCAGAGAAGCAGAAAAATGCAGAGATTTGCTATCCCTTATTACCCACCCAAGTAGAGGACAGAAGCCTATGTGGGTCTCAGTTCAGAACGGTCTGAAGTATATGAGGGAGTAATCACTATCACACCATCCTGGTAACTCTGGCAATTTGCACTTACCGGCCCATGCTTAGATCGGAGATGGTAGACAAGTCCTGCCTTTGATTTGTATGCTTTTCCACAGTGATGGCATTTCATAGTCATTTTCTCCAACTCAGAAGCAGCTTTCCCACACTTTTTAGTATGGTATAGGTATCCCATTATGCTGGTGAAGCTGCCTGTGCAGCCCTGTCAACGCAGAAGAAAAATCCATGGAGCAAATGCTCTCCAAGTGATTACAAGACTACTGTGTATGGCATCAACAATTTGCTGAACAAAGCACTATTAGTTTTCTCCAAGACCAGAGACAATTAGGTAATAAACTTTTATGCTTGTCTATTCAGGTAGAAAAAATTGGGAAAGATTTGGCTGAAGTGGGGGGAAATTATTTCTTACAACTTCTTTGTAGGTAGCGGGGAACACCAAAAAAGGCTCTTATACTTCGTTGGCTGGTTGAACCGTCCTCGAGCCCAGCAATATTAGGGAGATTGTTAAATAAAACTTTCAGATATTCCTAGGATATGGTCCATGTCTCAATCCACAAAGAAAGACAACAAAAACTCCAATGGTTTCCTGCATAGACTTAGTAGAAAATTTCCTAGCCCTGAATCCAGTGATGAATTTGAACCTGGGTTCGGGAGCAGGACAAATCAAGCATGCATCAGTTAAGTTTCTTATATTCTTAGATGTACTTCTATATTCTGTGCTCCATCCCTTTCTCTAGCTGTGGCCAGTCTTAGTATTTTCAAAAACCAGAAGAGGCAAACCCTTGGGGTTAATTATGCATAAAACCAACTGGCCATCACAAACAACTAGGAAAAGTCCAGAAGTACACATTAATAAAATACATTTGATGCACACAAACAACAACCTAGCTTCCTCCCCATCCCCCTTGAAGACACCAACACATCAAATACTTAAGGATATTTTATCACAAACTGAACTTTCTATCTTCTGATTGATTATATAGTATTTTTCATATAGGTATGACACTGCACCTTAACATGATGGAAGCTGCTTGGTAGCCCGTATCTTATTTGGAAGATTATTTCAGAATTTCATTCCTCAGGAGTGGTCAAAGAGTTTCTTTTAATTTAACAACCTAAATATATTCATGAACAGTTTATAATACTGTCAGAAGGTAAAATGGTTATCCTTTAACTTCTTCCTCCTTGACATCTTCCATTGAATGTATTTATAAAGTCATATCCTTGCTCAATATACATTTACATATCTGGTCTAAACAAGCTATTAAAAAAACTGTAAAGAAAAACTCTGTTTTAATACCCTAGAAGCCTACCTTTTAGAGTCAGAAGGGGGATCTGACAGTCACAGAAGCTGATCTCCTTCCTAGTACAGGCAAGAGACTTTCACTCATCAAGTCATGCATGAAGCCCTAAAACTTCCAGTCAAGCTACTGTTCCCCAGACTCCCACTTTGCTCAGTCAAGAGGTTATAACCAAGTCTCGGTCACTTCAATGATTTTCTACGCTCAGTGCTTCACACTTACTTAAAGGAAACTCTCCAGGCTTCCTGCTGCTTTCCTGGAAGCATCCCTTTGAATCCCCTCAAGGGACTACTTTGTCTTGAGAGCACAGCTACAGTCTTGAAACAAATCCAGCTTTTGCCAGCCCCAAAAGCGTAGCCACCAGTCTTACAGCACTTTATACTCGTGCAGTGGGTGACGCTCAATTCAAGACTCTTAGCACAATGCAGCTTACCTCCCTTGTACACTTTAGTTTTCCCATACGCTTCAAAACCTTCCGAAGGCGGTCTCGCTCACGCTGCTCATCTAGTTCTCCTCCCTCCTTCACAACTGGCTAAAGCAAGGCAGAGAGAAGAAAGAGAAACAAAGGAGGTTTAGCACTTCTCATAGTGAATTCACTATTCAACACACTACAGAATGAAAGGTTTAAAAATAATTAAATCTCTGACACTTATGACTTTACAGAAATGTATGTAATACAATGATCACTGACTATGTACTGGAAAAAATGAATTAGCTTTAAAAAGAGTAAACTACTCAAAAACTACTCTACAAATGGTAGTTTTAACATTCAGATAACTGTCTACAAACAAAGCTTTAATAAGAAATGGTTCCAAACTGTAACTGCTGGGAAGAGCAAGGGTGTAGACTTCTATAATGACTTTTCCTCACTTCTGCCTATGGAAAGTGCTGGCTCATCTTTGTCACATATCTTTTAACATTTATTGGTCCTATCAATTTCCACTTAGCCTAACTAAAGCTAAGAAGCTAAGCTGACTAACTGCCAGTAAGAATTATTAATGTATGCTAAACTACAGTTCAAGCTCTTCTCTTATCTCTGATGGTTATTGCATATTATTTCCTATATTATCTTATACTAAATATGACACCTAAACTAAGAAAATTTAGAATTGAACTACGGACCTATTCCTCAGGGCCAGAACATGTTTCCTGGCTTTTTTTTTTTTTTTTTTTTTTAAACTAGTACACCTGTAGTTTCAGAAACCACACTACTAGGAACTATGAAAAAAATAACAGTAGTTAATTTTCTAAATCTTAGGACCCTAACTTTTGAATGATCTTTACAAAAGTTCTAATTCTTCATAACTAGAATGGAAGACGCTGTCTTCTTTAAAGTAACAGCAAAGAGCAAAAGCAGATTGTAGCTTTTGTATCTTTACAGTAAATAGCTGAGAAGTAAACTACTGCTTCTGCTTTTTTACCTTTGAAGTGTAAAGAACTAAAAACTGGTCTGCTCTGTGTGTAGCAAAACTCCTTCTACTTTCTGGTAAAGGACTGAAAAGTGCACTCTAATTTCATTTCTTCTGATTCTTATGCCTTTTTTGTGTGACATATTACCAGCCTAAACGGAAATTCATCCCCTCTAAGATGCAGCATGTCTACCATCTTGGATAACATATTATCATTTTTCCAAGTGTTCAGTCTTGCAGGAAAAATAATAGGTAGACAAGACTTGAAGGGCCACATTTGAAAAATCACACCATATTCAGTTTCTGTGTGCCTCAGAGAAAGAATAAAAGACTGTCTTGCCTCTAAGATTGTACGTGCACGGTAGTGCTGTTACCTGATTATTATGGTCTGCCATGACATGGTATTTCATCCCTCCCAAAGACTTCAGCTGCTTCCCACAGTGATGACAAGTGAACATTTCCTACAAATAAACAAGGACATAGGGTGCATAACTGCAAACCAACCAAAGCACTGAGAAACTCTTTGGGGGAACAGAGCTGGAGAGCAGAACATCTTATGTAGGCCTGATAACTGCCTGTTAAGAACAGAACAGGTTCTTTGGAGCAAAACTTTAGGGGAAGAAGGAAATGCCTACATCTTCATTCACTTCATGCCAAGCCTCCAGCAATAGCCTGAGCAAGAAACACCAACTGCAGCGTCTTAAAGAGGTATAAAGGGCTGTTGTTTAAACAGAGATGATGAAACTGGTTTTAACTACAATGCAAAACAACGTGCAGGCCTTTCATCACTAAGCTGGAGAAGATTAAAGAAAACAGTGCTCATCTTTCTTATTCTCACCTGCCTGCAGTTTGCCATATGCTTCTTCAGTCCTTCTACAGTCTTTCTCACCACAGCCCTGCACGTTGGACAGGTAACTCGGCCTTTGTCCCGAATTTCCAAAGACCATTGTTCTTCCATACTACCTGTCCAAACAGAAGATTTGGAACAGAACTGCAAACATAAAATCTTATTTTACTTCTTCAATATGCCCAATGAATTCTAAAAGAAAACTGGTCACATGCTACCAAACTCCTGTCCAGTTTCTCTTCAACAGTTTTATCCTGTTTGCAGCTTATACATGTCATATGACAAGGCTTACAACACTCCTTTGGGGAAACTATCTGATTAAAACCTCTTACTCCTACTATCTCCTTGTGGGGAGAACTCTTCCATACGTTGAGATTTTTCCTTTGTTCATTTTCACTACACAACTACTTTGGCATGCAGAATAAACTTTTCTTTTAGAAAAGCAACCTTGAAAAACTACTCTGAAAGTAGTCACAGATGTGACCAGTTTCAGGACAAAAGCCCACAATTCAATTCTACTAACCAAATCTTTAGAACTTCACTAACGTTAGACAGCAGTTTTGGCACTGCAGGTGAACAGATCTGTACCATCAGGCACAGGTACCCTGTCAGGCATGGTCTCCAGTTCCTGGCGCCTTTTGGAAATGTCAAGCAGAAGTTTTAGCCACGAAGATTATAAATTCTTGAAATGGGTTCTCAGAAGAAGTGGCTTAACAGTCAGGTGCTTGAGTTCTTACCATAAAAATATCTAAAGGCTTTTCTCCTTGCCAAGTAATAACAGGCAGGGGTTGTCCCTCCTCAGGCGGTTGAGGAAAAGTTAGTGAATTGAATAGCGCTTGGGAGAAAGCTTGGGTAGTTAGTGAGTGCTGTAAGCGATGCATACCAAGTCATTCCGCTGGCAGAGTCAAGGCTAATGTTACATTTCCTAGGAGGGACTGCTCAAGTTTCTGGCTAATAGGTTATCAGAAAAGTTGATTTGGCAGCAGCATCTACACAGCTCTTTCTGGAAACATATTCTGCTGAGTAAAGAAGTATATATTTTTTAAGAGTTTTAGGCTGAAACTATTTTAACAGGCTTTTTCTCCATTCAGATGTGATTCCCCCCTCACAGTCCCATTACTGCAGTGATGTTAGGGCAAAATCATGTGGAACTATACTACTAGGCAGCATGTAGTCTCTCCAATATTGTTCTGCAACACTGATACAGCACCCAAAGGATAGCACCCATCTCTTCCTTATCAACAGGAAAGTGAACAAAAAAACGGAAACATAGAGACATGGCCATTGCTCACACTAAACTCTTAAAATTGCATTTATCTCTTAACTGCTTTATAAACAACTCTGAACAACTGCTCTTTCTTACCTGTGCCATAGGTTTGTGGTTCTTTCTGAACACAGTGACCTTTTGTTCTGGAGTTTTGCTGTGCTCCAGCTTGCTGTTTTTTTCCTGCTATAATACAAACAAGAAAGACCACAAGGCTTACTTCTGTGAGCCTTTTACAAAAGCAAAGAGCTTGCCTAGGAGGCGGCTAGTCAGTCTATCTCAAGGGTGGGCCAGCAAGGAGCCACTTTCTCAGAATTGTTCAATGCTTTTTTTTAGTAATTTAAAAATTGCATTCCCTCCTCTCTTTCAAAATCTATAGCTATATTTAACTATATGCCAATGCAGGCAGATTACTTAGTTATACAAGTCACAGGGGATTTTTAATGCTTCTTCAGTCAAGGGCACAGCAAAGCCTAGAATGAAGGCTACATAATATATTCCCATAGAATGTCTTGATTTTGGTTGTAATTTATTTTTTCTAGGACTGATATAAAGTAATAACTTCAAACCTGGATGGAAGGCAATTTTAGGTTCCAAGAGATATCTTTTTTCCCATAAAAATCTATCCAGATTTGCCCCAAGTGTAAGACACGGAAAAAAAAAAAGATGATAACATTAAGTTCCATTAATTACAAAAAAACCCACATCAAAATGATAAATACTTGTTTTTAATTCTATGAGAATTCTAACTCCATATTCCAAGATCTTATTCCACTTCCTTTAATGAAGCTGCACAAGGCACGGCATCAGAATATGACAAGTGACACCTGCCATATTTTGCCCTGATGCCACTGAAGGTTGCCTTTGGTATAAGCTAGGAGCTAGGATGCCCTACCTTTCCCAGTAACTCACAATAACAGTTTCCTGAATAAGCCTCGGCTACAGTGTCTCTCAACGACTGTTTTTTAGGGGAAAATCTTCCAACCCCCTAACACTCAAAGAGATGGACTGCTATCTCATCTCCTCTCAGTCAACAGCCAGAAATCAGCCACACATTAGTCCCATCCAGGTGTTTGTAATCTCTATGGTTGTTAATACACAATGCTCTGAGAGCGGAAACTCTTCACACTGAAACAAACACTGTTCACTGTATGGCTGACCTGTTCACAATAAAAGAGAAAGTCCCACTCAGAGAATCACAGAGTGGTTGAGGTTGGAAGGGACCTCTGGAGATCATCTAGTCCAACCCCCCTGCTCAAGCAGGGTCACCTAGAGCACATTGCCCAGGGTCACGTCCAGGTGGGTTTGAATCTCTCCAGCGAAGGAGACTCCACAACCTCCCTGGGCAACCTGGGCCAGTGTCCCTCTGTCTCCCTCACAGTAAAGAAGTTGTTCCTCCTGTTCAGACGGAACTTCCTGTATTTCAGGTTGTGCCCGATGCCTCTCACCCTATCGCTGGGCACCACTGAGAACAGTCTGGCCCCATCCTCTTGACACCCTCCCTTCAGATAATTATATACATTGATGAGATCCCCTCTCAGCCTTCTCTTCTCCAGGCTAAACAGGCCCAGCGCTCTCAGCCTTTCCTCATAGGAGAGAGCACACCATTGAGGCCTTCTTGGCCACAAGGGCACATTGCCGGCTCACGGTCAACTTGTTGTCCACCAGCACTCCCAGGTCTTTCTCGGCAGAGCTGCTTTCCAGCAGGTCAGCCCCCAGCCTGTCCTGGTGCATGGGGTTATTCTTCCCCAGGGGCAGGACTCTGCACTTCCCTTTGCTGAACTTCAGGAGGCTCCTCTCCGCCCAACTCTCCAGCCTGTCCAGGTCCCTCTGAATGGCAGCACAGCCCTCTGGGGTATCAGCCACTCCTCCCAGTTTTGTATCACCAGCAAACTTGCTGAGGGTGCACTCTGTCCCTTCACCCAGGTCACTGATGAATAAGCTGAACAAGACTGGACCCAGGACTGACCCCTGGGGCACACCGCTAGCTACAGACCTACAACTAGACTGCGCTGCTGATCACAACTACTCAGTCTTTTCTTCTTTAGACTAAACAACTCTAATTCCTTCAGTCTTTTCTCATTGGTTATGCTTTTTGCTCTCCTCTGCATTCTCTTCAGTTGGTCCACAGATTTCTTGAATTGCACTGTCCAGTACTGGAAACAGTACTCCTAGCAAGGCCCTACAGTAGGGCAGAATTATTTCACACATCTTAAAGTCTACATTCCTTTTCCAACATCTCAATATAACATCTGCCCTTTTCAAAAAAGCATGACAATGTTTGCCCCTACTCAGCTTGTGATCATAAGTCCCTAGCCCTTTTCTGAAGAACTGATACCTAGCAGGTTATTCTTTGTCTTTCAGTTGGGCAAATATTTCTTCCTAACTATAGTACCTTTCATTTTACACTCTCTATTTCATCCTGTCTTTTAGACTATTTATGTAATGTGAAGACTGCTTTGAAGTTTAATCTTTTCTCCAATGCACTTGCCATCTCTCTCAGCTTTGTGCTGTCTACATACTTCCGGTTCTGTCCTTTTGACTGGTGAAAAAAATAGTAATTAGATTTGAACCTAAGAAAGACTATGGAACTTCATTCTATATTTTTTTCTGTTTTAGCAGCTAATCACTGATTGAATACATTGATCCAATGAAAGACCTCTGATAGCAAATGTTTCTCCCTCTCCAGTTTTGTGGTAGAAGGAAAGTTGACTGGTTGAGCGTGATTTGTTCTTAAAAAACCCATATTGCTGTTATCATCTCCTCATTAACCTCCAGATGCTTACAAGTAGTTTGCCTGATTATTTGGTCCAATAATTTGGAGGAAATTAAAATGAAGCTGTCTAGCCTATACTTCCCCTACACTCCTTTTTTTTCCACTGTTGAAAATAGGCTTGGACTTCAAGAGAGACAGAAATTAGAACAATCCTCTCCCAATGTAAAATAGAAGCTAGGCAGCAGTATCATACAGCAAGATTCACAGAATCAGAAATAGAGATGGGGGGACAGCAGAGGATAGCATTTAGGCAGATAGGAAGCCAAAAGCACCTGGAGGCTTGTAACTAGAAATTACAGGTTGTTTATATTACCAGAAATCTTTTGCTTCTTCTTGGGGGAGTCTTTAAGATCTTCATCTTCCCCTTGCTCAGATTTCCTCTTGCCTTTCAATAGTACTTCTCCTGCTAACAAGAAAGAATGGAAATACTTAGTCTGTCAACAGCTTTGTGTCTGTCTGCTGTCTCAGTTTCTCTTCATAGTCAATACTTCTAAAGAAAAAAGTTGCTTTTTGTGCATCATCTAGACACCAGTGAGACAGACATAAGCTACTGAGTCAGTAACTCTAAGGCACTCCATGTTCTTTAGAGGAAAAAATCCACAGCCTGCAATCTCCCGACAAAGAAGACATGGAAGAAACAGTACCGTAGCACAGTTTAGGAAAACAGTAATACTCAGTAAGAGAGCAAGGAGGGAAGAGAGATCCAGGAGATGAAGAAAGAGCAATAAGACTGACATTTTGGCTCTCAGCCACATGAAAAGTTTGGAAAACAACTCCTAAGACCAGAAAACCTGAACGTCCCTGCTTTACTATAGCAAAGTAAGAGATAATCTTGACCTCCAAACCACTCTAAATCAGAAAATCATGAGAAAATTAAAACATTTTTAAAAATCCACAAAAAAGTCTAACAACTAGAAAAGCTGTGTCTAATCCAGAATACTGCTGCATGGTCCACTTTTGTACATTTTTAGTGTTGCTTTGTTCTGTTCTTAAAGCTGTCAAAGCATTTTCCTGAAACAGCTGGCAAAACCCTTAGACGTACTTCTTCTATAGACAAAGCCGAGTTCAGCCATAGAATCATTAATTTTAATAGGCAAGTCACTCATAACACTATGCAGGTTATGCAGACCTGCTCTCACAAGGCAGAGATTTTTACCTAAGATTCTGAAGTAGTAAAAGTTTCTCTCTCCTAATACACAAACATCATTACCAAGTTTGGAATTTGTGGCTGAACTTCAGCAAGTCTTTCAAAACTCATCCAATCTCTCACAAAAGAATTGGAGAGAAAAATAGTTTTATATAGAGCCAAGAGTGATGAGTACCTTTTTTTCCTGAAGTTTTGTTAATGCTGGTTTTTATTCCTCTCATTTCCAACCAGTAAGCAGGCCTGCGAATTGTCCTCTTGCTTCTTGACTCTGCACTCCCGTTCACTCGACTCTTGGATGAGGCAGAAGAAACGTTGCTGACTGTCTCATCATAGTTACTGTTCAGTCCTAGGACAGTAGTTTCCAGCTCCTCAAATTGCTTAGATCTGGAATACATCAACTTGAAATCATATATACGTATGTACGTAAACAAACAAAACCACAGTGACTTGATAGACAACATCCCTTTCATCTTCCCAAGCACTCTAGAAATTCATCTCACAGTTCATTGACTCTCCTGAGGTTTGTGAAAGAAGTGCCAGCAAGGTAAAACATCCTAAACATTATTTTTCACTGCTTCTTTTAGAAAATGACATTAGAGAGCTACTCAAAAGCAGCAGAAAAAAAATTCATCCTACCTCAACCCTTCAACATTAAGGAGCAGGTGCAAGTTCATCTCAGTTTAAAAATAAACATTTATCCTTAAGCTGTCAGTGTGGAATATAAGGACTCTTCTTCCAATCTTTTCCTTCTCATGAAGGGCAAGATCCCCTTCAGTATGCATTCCCAGAACGAGAGCTGACATTACACAAATTAAAGACTTAACACCAGGAAGAACTTTAACCGGCAAGGCCTTCAACAATAAAAGCCTGAAGATATATCCTATGAATCACATTATATTAAGACTAATTTAGAATGTGAAGTCAGCAACACTGATTTTATCTCTAGAGATCAGATGGAACTTTGCTGCACTCTTCTCAAATACTTCTCACAGCCCTGAAATGCCCAGACATTTACACTACCGTACATGACAGCAACGATTAAGCTGCTAAAAGACGCTGAGTACATATTCTCTGAGCAAATACCATTAATGTAAGAGGAGCAGAAGGAAAACAATTATCAACATAGCCTGTTACTGCCAGAATCCACAAAGGGAAACAAGTAGATCTTTTGAATGACAGCTGTGATGGCCATCCCAGAAATACTCTCCTACACCCCCAGCTGTGGAGCTCATGCCTTAACACTTTGGTACAGAAGTTAAGAAGTCAGGGACAGATTGTACCAGGTGGGATAGCACACACTATGTTTGAGGAGTGTAGAAGGCTGTTGAGAGGAATTCTCAGATTGAAACCTTTGAATTAGTATTTCTCATGCTCAAAATGCATGGATTTGGGAACACCATTTAGCTCTTCAAGCTATAATTTCTATCTTCCCAGTGTTAAAATCCTTTTAAAAAACAAAAATGAAAGCTTATACCAGTTGAAGTGTCAGAAAAGTGCTTTTCCAATGAGCTAATAAGCAAACTCAATTGAGATTCTCATCAAACAAATCAAAATGGTTGCAGCTCTTTATGTTGAGGCTATTATTGAAAATATCAGACACAGCTTCCCAATAGGAATCGCTCAGCTTTTTCCTTGCCCTCAGTCAAACTTGACAAGAAATGTTCACATACTTTTTGTTTCCCAGAGATCTCTTGACCTTCTGTTGTCTGTGATGTTCAGGCCTGGTATCCTAACAAAGTAGAACAATTCAGATTAGCAGTATAATTTTTTTTTCTTCTTGCATGTTTCATTTTTCAGTTCAACACAATAAACTGCACTTTGAGGAGCTGTGTACCATTGCTTTGAAAGGGAAAGCACTGTCTTCTGCAACAAGGAAGCGTTTACCCCTTTCAACTCCTGTTGAATTAGAACAGGAATCAAAACAGGGACAAGGCCCTCCCCAATCCTCTCCCCGTATGAAATTCAATCTCTCCCCTTGCACTACAGCATGATGGAAGATGCTTTGTCTCCAACTCACTCAGTGGTACCTGCTTTCTGCCTAGACTTTAGCACATGATGAAAAGTATTTTAGATTCTAACCTACTAGTTTTTCCATAGTACTTCTTCTTTCCTTAATGAAATTAGTCTTGCTTTTTCCATGTCAAGAATGTTGGCTCTAGCCTCCTCTAAGTTTTCTTTTCATGTTTTATCTCCATTACTTTGTCATACTCCATCAGTTGACTGAATGTTTACTTTATCCACATCTCGAAATCTTTCTTCTTATTTAATAAAGGATTTTTCTCATTTATTGCTCTCTACTTCTTGTATTTTTATTAAGACACGTAATGCAACAGATACCATTGACAACCCTAAATCAATATAAAGGACATTCTCTTGGCATGTGGAGAATCATTTATTACCTTCTTCCAAATACTAAATGACTCAATCTCATGCCTCATTGGGAAACCCAGGACACAGATTTTGGTTATACTGACCAGAAAACAAAATCAATGCACAGTAAAAGTATGACACAGAAAAAACTGTGAGCTAGAAACAGAGATAAAATTGCCACATATAAGAACTGGCTAAGGGACTGAAAACAAGGAATATGCCCAAACGACCTATCTTCTTTATAGAAAAATGTAACACACGAGTCAACTGGACCCATGCTATAAAGTGTTTAGTTATTAGAAATAAATATTAGAAATTATCTGGGGAAAACAGTGAACAGGTATGTGAAAGAATTTGAAGAGGTCATAAAAATGTAATAACTTGTCAGAAGCAGATGCTGAGAAATTTCAGACGCTGTACTAAGAGACTAGGGAATAGGCAGCTTCAAGACAAGTGAAATTCATCACTAAAAAAATACATGCAACTGCACATTGGAAAGATTAACTTGAATCTGTCTTATACGCTCCTACCTTCTAATTTATGCTTAGGAACATATATAAACAACTGAAAAAGATTTGGATATCACGATGAGCAGTTCAATTAAACCTCTGCTTATATTGTGGCAAAAAAAAGATCAGTAAAGTTAGTTTTACTATATGTGCATGCATGTACCTACACATACACACGTATAAAAATACAGTCTTGCTATAACCTAGTAGGTCACTCTTCCTAGGAAGACAATCAGTGAGAGACTTCTAACCCCAGGTACACACCAGGGAAGAGACTCAGAAACAAGCGTGGACATCAACTATATGAATTCTTAAACTGCAGTCGGGGACCGTCAAACTTTCCTTGGGCCTCTACCTCTAGCGCCTGCTCTCGTGGAGAGGTTAACAAAGTAGCTGGAAATACGTTAACAACTGCTTGACCAATACTCTGACAATCACTTGTCGTCTTTGGAAGAAAAGTGAACTGAATGTTTGTATTACTTTGTCGTGGCTCACACGCCACGAGCAGTACTAACAGCAACGTCTGGGGACCCCTACATCAGAAACCTGGAGAAACTGCAGCGTGATGAGACGCTGGAAAAGATTAGGCCTGTGAAGTTGCAATGAGAAAAAGAAAAGAATATGCATAGCCTACTGTGATCAGCTGGCCTAATTCCCCATTGGAAGAACATGAACTACTGACAAACATGGCACATGTTTTAAGATTTTTTAGGACTGCAAGATTTTGTATAAAACTGGAGAATTAGCATGAAGAATTTGAGTGAGAGTTAAGGGTCTGCAACAAAAAGGAGCTCTCTGATCTGTTTTGCCTTACTTTCCGAGAGGCTGATAGCAGCAAGAACGAAGAAAACATCTAGAGAAGCTGACATTTAAAGCGTTGGGTGTTTCTTATTTATACAATGTATTTCCCACTTAGAAATCACTGGGAAAACATTTGGAAAACACTGAGCTGGACACACGGCAAATAGAAGTAGCACCTTACAACCTGAAAGGATGAAGAAGGGACTTCTTTCCCAGGTGTGCTACTCCTGCTACTCCAAATCCAAGGATTTGGAGGACGTTCCAGGCTCTGGAACGTGGCCTTCTGCTGGGGACAGGCTGCTCCACCACCACGCATAAGCCCTAGTCTGAAAAATGGCGTTTAAACAGAGGACAGAAACTCCGCTGGAGGAGTTGAACTAGACCTACAGCTGCGGAGAAGAGGCGTCAGCGGAGGCATCAAGCACTCCAGGCTGCTGTGCCTGTCCCACCCCGCCAGGTAAACCCCGGGCACGCAGGACTGGCTCAGCCCCTTCTGGGCAACTGCGTGCTCTAAGCCCACACGTTCATTGCTCCCTGCGTGCTTCACGGACTGACGTTTCCTGAAATAAAGACCTCCTAGGACAAAACGGATAGCCCCGC